GTACTTATCGACTATTATTAAATATATTATAAACCAGATCTGGTGATAACATCTCATACAGATTCCACCTTATGCCTTGAATAAAACTGACTCGAAATATGACTTTATTACTTAAAGCATGGTTACATAGAGTGGCTTCTGAATTTTATACTGAATTGATTCCTTTTTATCTAAATCCCTTAGGTCCAAGGAATTCAAACCATGCCGCTTATGTCTATGGTGTCCCCTCCACGTCTGCCTGCCCATCTCTCGCTTAAAGCTCAAGATGCTTTTACCATCGTCGATACCAACACCGATGACTCGATGAAAAGTGGGATGTATGCCTCCTTACGGCAAGCAGCATCGCTTTCTACTAAAATCATAACTTCTCGCCGCCCGGAATCGCCACCAATAAAAAAAAAATTAGCACCCCTTCGACATCGGCATTTCAACGCAAATGGGATGGCTAGAACTCGACAACAAGCCAATCAGGAAATTTTGGGACTATCGGGACTTTCGAGGGCTGATGGGTGTAGAAGTGAAGAAGCACATAAGCCACAGGTACACCAACAATAATACTCTGATTAAACTAGGCAAAATACCAAACAATATAGAATTAGTGTATTTTCAAAACCATCAGCAATTTTTAAATAAGGATTGTATTCACCCTAGGTCGCTTAAAGTGATGAGGACTGATAGTGAAACTGCCAATAGTACTTGGCCATTGAATTTCCTTTAGCCATGTCTACCAAAAGCCATTTAAATCCAGAATGGACTATAGTTTTGAAATTGCCTGGGTCTCATCAGTTCTCTTAATGGCAATAGAATCCATACAGTACAGTTTTTATTTTGGGCATAGCACCCTTATGTCACACTGTAACAGGTGTCAATGGGGCACAGTGCAGACGTGACTTATAAAGCAAACCAGGCTTCCCTCATGTCGTGATAATAATTGAAGTGTCGGTAAGGCAAATTCGTATTTGGTCAGTACAGTCGACTACATAGCCTATACTCATTTTATTTATTTGATAAGCAAGATCTTCTGATAGTCTTGAAACCTAATTATAATGAATAAAAGTAACTTATTCTATTGTAATTACGAAATACGAGGTTGTCTCATTTGTAATACTAACATAAATGTGATATGGAAGGGCCCTGATTTGCCTTGAAAATCACGTCTGCCCTGTGA